ACTCTTCACCATAGCCAAAACATGGAAATTACCATGGTGCCCATCAACAAATGAATGGATAGAGAATCTGTGATATGTACATATACATTCAGACATGAAAAAGAAGGAAATCTTGTCATTTGCAGGTATGTGGATGTAACTTAACGGCATTGTATTAGGTAAAATATTCCAGGCACGGAAAGACAAGTGCCACATGTTCTTTCTCAGATGTGGAAGATTTCCGAGCATTAAATAGTGATTAGCAGAAGCTGGAATGGAGGAAGGAGGGGGGGATGGTGGAAAATGGAAGGATTAGTACCAAAATGCAGTCCGATAAAAGGGATAGCTTCTAGTGTTCCATGCACAATGGGGTGCTATAGATCACATTATCTATTACCTATTTCATGTGCGAATAAAAGAAGATAGAAGCTCAAAGCCTCCCAATATAATGTCAAGGGGAAGAAATGTTAAATATCCAGATTTGATCAACACATAATGTATACATTTACTGAAATATAACACTGTACCCCAAAATATGTACATTGTTAAATGTTAATAAAACTATAAAAATAGACAAATGAGACAATGTCAAGCTCAGAAGCCTCTGCACAGCAACTAAAATAATGAGTGAAGAGACAAGCCACAAATCAGAGAAAATGTTTGCAAATTATGTTTCTGACAAAGGATTCATAATTAGAATATATCAGGTATGCACCAAGGGATTAAACAATCAAGTTAAGAAATGGTAAAGGAGCCTGAATGGATAATTATCAAACTAAAGTCAAATGTGCAACAAATACACACAAAAAAATTCTCAATCTCTCTAGCAAAAAAGAAAATGCAAATCAAAACCTAATGTGATACCATCTCACCCCAGATCAAATGACTATTACCAAAAAGATAAAAGATAAATACTGGCTAGGAAAGAGGGATCCTAATAAACTTGGGTGGGCATGCAAATTAGTACAGCCTTTAGGAAGAACATTATGTAGGTTCCCCAAAAATAGAGTACCCTTATGACCTAGCTATCAATGTCTGGGTGTATACCTGAAGGAAATGAAAACAGCAGATGAAAGAGATACCTACACTCTCATATAGATTAAGCACTATTCACAATTACCAGTATATAGAATAAACATGGGTGTCCATGGATGAATGATTGATTGAAGAAAATGTAGTGTATGTACACAATGGATTATTATTTAGCCATAAAAGAATGAAATACTAACATTTGCAGCAACATGGATGGAACTAGAGATTATTATTTTAAATGAAATAAGCCATACATGGAAAAAGACTTCATGTTATTTCTTACTTGAGAGATTCATATACATATATATATATCACATATATAATATAATGCATCATATAATATATAATGTATTACATAGAGAGTCTGTATGAATTTAAAACAGTGATTACTGGGAGCTAATAAGTGTAGGAGGAGAGAAATTGTGTGAAGTTTGATAATGGGTACCAAAATGCAATCAGGTGAAGGTAAGGAGTGTGTTCTGCAGCTCTATCTGGTGACTACAGATCATGAAAATATCTTCTGTATGAATAACTAGAACAAAGAAGCTGTTTCCAAACACTAAGAAAAATAATGAAGTAAGAAGTCTAATTACCTGGTATGACCAGTTTACGCTGTGTATATGTGAATATGTGGCATAGCGGGTAAAGCTGCCTCCTGGTGCGCTGGCGTCCCATATGGATTCCAATTTGAGTCCCAGCTGCTCCACATCCAATCCAGCTCTCTGCTATGGCCTGGGAAAGCAGTAAAGGATGGCTCAAGTCCGTGGGAGACCCAGAAGAAGCTCCTAGCTTCTGGCTTTGGAACAGTGTAACTCCGACCATTACGGCCAACTGGGGAGTGAAGCCTATGGAAGAAATCGCTCTCTTTCTCTCTCTCTTTCTTTCTCTCTCTCTCTCTCTGCCTCTCCTTCTCTCTCTGTGCAATTCTGACTTTCAAATAAAAAAATAAATCTTTTAAGAAAATAGCACACTATACTCCATAAAAATGTGCAAGTGTACATACTAATCAAAAAAAATAATTCCTCTTAAAATTTTTGTATATATGAAATAATGAATTGTGTAAAAATTTAATAGGCAAGTAAGTATTCAATGTGATATTGGCGTACTATGTGGTGTTTGATATTTGTACACATTGTGCAATATCAAATCAGGATAAGTTGCTTATTTTCTCAAATGCTTAACATTTGTTTAAGGTGAAAACATTCTTTAAATTTTGTAAAACTTTTTCATGAAAATTAAATCCTAACTAACTTGGTTTTAGCATCACACACCAAATAAATGTATCAAGTTTTCAATTAAAATAATAATTTAAATGGTCAAAATTATTTTATTTTTAAAATTTTTTAAAAATATTTTATTTATTTATTTGACAGGTAGAGTTATAGACAGTGAGGGCTATCCTCACTGTGGTCCACTGCCTTCCCAGACCACAGCAGAGAGTTGGACTGGAAGAGGAGCAACGGGACTAGAACCCGGTGCCCATATAGAATGCCGGCACCGCAGGCGGAGGATTAACCCACTGTGCCATGGCGCCAGCCCTAAAATTGGTTTTAAAACAAATCGGTAGCATTTGGATCCTTGGCAAAGGTTCAGTTTTCACTTTTGGGAGACTCGAACTGTTAGATATATCATTCTGACATTCTGGCATGCAAAAGAGTCTGTGCAAGACTCTCAGTTGAGAACCTGAGCCTGTCTGACAGCCTCACAGAGGCCACAGCATATGTGGTAGAGCAATCAGGGGGACGTGTACAAGGGGCTCACATCATAGGTATAATAGGTTATGATTGAACATATGACACAAGGTCTTGTAGGCTCTTGCTGGTCTAGAAGAACTGAGGATTCTATTATGAGCAAAATGAGGATCCATTCGAGAGTTCAAAGCAGAGTTGTAGCATGCCCTGACTTAATCTATAAGGGAACTACTCTGGCTATTGATTCTAGGGCTAGAAAAGGTGGAGCATGAATACCAACTAGGAGGTAATTGCAATAATCTATGCTAGAAATGGTGGGATTTGGGCCAGGATAGATCATGGGCAATGATGAGAAACAGATTATGGACATATTTTGCAAGTAGAACTAATGGTGGTTTCCTGATTGATAGATTATGGAAAAACAGAGGGGTCAAAAATAAAGACTTGAGGATCTCTAATACAAGTGACTGAGAAGAGAGAACTGCTCAATGCTAAGGGATACCACTGGCTTTCACTGAAACCACCAGATCAATATCTGTACCCCTTGTGCTTGCTTTAGTACCAACAGGTTCCTCTATCAGCTGTGTGTAGCTATCCATTCCTTTTGTTTTACCCATTTTTTATTTGATTTTTTTATTGTGATAATTTTGTTAAGATTTCTGTATTGATGCTAGAAATCAATATGCTGTCTTGAATTGAAAGTCTGATTATATCTATTTAAAATGCAATTGATTGTGTTGGTAGATATGCAAATATGTAAACCCGACAAACTTGATACAGATTACAGTCTCAAGTGAATATTTTATAATTGTGTATTTTATAGTATGTAAATCATATTTCAATAAAGTTGATTAAAATAATCCAGAAATATAGATTACAGGCTTAATAGGGTAATTATTATTAGACCCTCATGGTATTGCCTTCTTCAGTAAGAATAATTTGAGTTGAAAATAAGCTTAGTAAGATAATTATCTTTTTCTGACTTCTTAAAAAGGCCAATGAAGAGTATCACAAAGCTCTCCTCCCTCTGAGAATTAATAAGAACTTTCTTTCTGAGGCTTGCACAAGGCTAGTAACTGAGAGTTTAGATGGTGCATGGCCACTCATCTGAAGCAACACTCAATTCCCAAGGCAACACAACCCAATGCAGTGTTTGGATTCAGGCAGGTAACACTGAATTACTTATGGGAAAACACACCTTATTGAATTAAATTTGAAGATTTTTCACTATGTATCAATAGAAAACAATTTCCATTAGTCAAAGTTTACCCTCTTTTCACAAAAATTAAATATCTTCCATGAGTCCTCCCCTCCCCCTCCGCCGTGGAAATGTAAATTTAGAAATACTTCATTTATCCACCAGAGGAGAAACAATTTGAAACGACTGTAGATAGCGCTGAGGGTGGGCAGGCTGCAGGAGAGGCACTCCCAGGTCATGGGTAGAGTGGGAGTCGCTCGGGCATTTTGGAGGGTGCTTTGACCATATCAAAACCTAGTCTGCTCGGACCCTGGACTCTCGGCCCTGCTGACCACTCACACGTGTGCTCCGAGGCGTCCTTGTACGAGGACGACTGCTCAGGCGCAGGTGTCATCCAAGCGCCCACCAGGCAGAGACTGCCCACATGGATCCTGACCCATTCCTACTCTGCAGTGCTGGGCAGGTGTGAAGAGATGACGCCAGCAAGTGCGAGGCCACGCATGGTAATGTAAGTCAAAAAAACAAAGTCGAGGAGCAATGTGGACAGCAGGATCCCAGTTGTCCGGCAGCAAGCAGCAGCCCTCTGCCCCATGTTTCTTGTCTTACGTGTGCTTTCCCTGCAAATGCACAGCCAGCCAGACGCACACCAAATGATAAGAGAGAGCAGGCAAGGCAGATTAGAGGCTGAGGGCCATTGGGTCATTATATGTGTCTAGTTTAAAAACTTACACAAGCCTAAGTTATTTTTGTAATAAAAAAAATAAAGACTTTTTAAAAGACTATGTGCAGCCCAGGGTCCTCTGAGCGTGATTTCCCCCATGGGAAGACGCCCCCAGAGACCGGGGCTGGACAGGGAGGCTCCCGGGGACGGCACAGGGGTCCTGAGCTCTGCAATCAAGACTCTTGGCCTGCTCCACAAAGGGGTGACCTCGGGGGAGTCCCTTCACCAGTCCCCCCTCTCACCAGGGAAACGCACGTCCCCGTGGATGTGGCACGTGTGGGGTTCTCACAGCAAAAGAGGCCTCCCCAGTAGGGGAGGATCCAGAAGAGCAGCAGTTTAGGGGTCAGAAACCTGACTGTGGTGCTCGCCATTTTCCATCATGGTACTGGTGTGTGGCCTGCACCCCACCGGAAGGCCCACAGGGGCTGTTTCCTCCATTGCTCCCGCCTTCTCCACCACAGGCATCGAGCGATGCAGCCGCTGCTTCTCTCACCAGGGTGGGTTCTCAGAGTCCTCGGCCACATGCCAGTCCTTCCGACATTGGAAGCTACTGCTTGGATTTTACTTGAGTCCTTTTCTCCCTCAGATCCTTGTCACCTGCCTCAGCCTTAACTTTGCGCTCCCCCCAATACCCTGGGTCCCTTCCCTTGGTCCTGCCCTCAATGTGTGCTGGCCCTGCAAACTCCCACCCAGCTCCCACAGGGACGGGCATCTGCTGAGACTGCTGTTTAAAAACAGCATGCTCTTTGAGTCCAGGATCACCCACAGCAACAAGCATGGTGAGGACTGGGTCAGTGGTGGGGTAATTGGGGAATTGGGGTGGCAAGGGTGGAAACTGGCTGGGCTCTCCTAGGAGGCTTGTGCAGATTTAGGGTGGCAGTAATCCCTTGCCCACTCTCCTCTGCAGTTGGCTGGGTCGTGGCCATGGCTGTCCTTTTGAGAGAATTCAGATGCATCAGTTGGTAGTCAGGGTGGTCTCAAAGGTACCTAGGGTGCAAAACACTTGCACGCTATCTCCAGCAAGAACAAACAGACCTCCCTCCTTCCTTCAGAATCTCCAAACCTACCATGAGAACAGCAAGGGAGCTCTTCCTGATCTCACAGCTTATTATGAAAAGAGCCACCCATCCCACCCTTAGGGATGGCCCTTTGTTTCATCATGAACAGGCCAGACAGGATGGAGAAATGGAAATCAGGTCTTTTGATGGGTTTTGTCCCCACCTGGTAACTGAATGCCAATCTGTCAAGTTTTTTTTTTTTTTTTTTCTCTTGAAATTGTCCTTTTCATTTTGTCTATTATAAATCCATTCTTTCAAATTCATAACCCAGTCAGTATGATTTGGTCAGAGTTGATGCTGTCACAAGAAATGGAGACAATAAGTCAGATCCAACCAGGTACAATATGGTATCCTAATTTGAAGATATCAGAACTAAAATTGAGAAAAACAAGGGAGAGAACAACCTTTCATGGTAGCATATCAGCTCCTCAATCATCATTAGCCAACAGTCCCCAGAACCTCCCAGTTGCTTTTTAATCTAGGTTAAATTGGATTTCTTCTAATTACTATCGAAAAAGTACAATAGATACAAATGGTTCACTTGTCAAATAATTTTTGCAAAGTCTATAAATACACACACACACACACAATTTGGAAGATTCAGAACTCTTCTTATGAGTTTCAAATGATTTCATCCAAATATATTTAACCAAGAAAACTCATCAAACAACAGTTGATATCTTCTAGAGCACTGTCCTACATACCTCTTTCATAAAAATTATGCTAATTTTAAATGACCTTTTTAGTTTAACCAATAACAAGACAAATTTATAGAGTAGAGATTGTATTATTTCTTATTTAGATCTTTGGTAAAGCTTCCTGTGAAACTATCTAGGCTTTGACAAGATGGAGGATAAAGATTGGATAAAATGTATTAAAATATGATTAAACAGGATGCATAAGTTCTCATGTTCTACATCACAGTGGGATGACTACAGTTCATGACAGGTTATTATATATTTTACAAAGAACTAAGAGAGAAAAGTGCTAAAGTTCCCAGCACAAAAGAATGATAATTGTTGAGGAGATAGAAATGCAAATTGCCCTGTTTTGATCATTATGCATTGTATACATGTACAAAATTATCACACGGTTCCCTGTAATTAATAGTTATGTATAATCACTATATGTCAGTTTAAAAATGCAGATTTAATTTTCACAGTTTTTAAGCACAAATTAAATATATATAGTAGACGAAAAATTATCCAGAATTTTTATTTCTTCTAAGTTAATCTTGGCATTTTTTATTTTTGAAAAAGCTTGAGTCATTTAATCTAACTTGCCAAAGTTATAGACATTCTCTTATTTTTCCTTTTGTGTCTATGAGACCTGAAATGATGCCCTCTGTTTTAACATTGTTATTAGCCATTTTATGTGTTCTTTTTTTCTAGCATTAATTTCAGTAGTCTTTTTAAGAAGTTATGTCTTGATTTCTTTAGTTTTCCATATCATTTTAAGTGACAGTTGTATTATTAAGTTATTGATCTTACTCTTACTTTGTGTATTTCATCTCTTCTCCTTTGGATTAAATTTGTTCTTCCACATTCTAAGTTCTTGAAGGGAAGCAAAGATTATTGATTTTGAGACAGGATATGAATGATACAAGATCAAGTCCCTACACACCCAACCACATGGTCATCTCCTACCTCTAACTGTATCCATCTCTAGTCACAGAACTCTCCACTCCACCCCAAACCAATCAAGAACAAAAGATTCCCTGCTGTCCCATGGGCATGCCTCGAATTGCCCAGTACCATGGCTATATGAGTTTCCTATGGTGGTGACAGTGAGCGATACCACCATCTTCAGTGTGTTACATGCAAAAGAAACAACCGCACCTTCACAGAAATCCATGCCTATTGCACACTGAAATACTGTTCTTCAAGGGAAATAAGCCAGAGACCAACGGTGTATCCATACCTCTGCAACTTAACAAAAATACCTGTCCAACTCACATTGCAGACCCTAATGGTGGAACCTCTTCCCACCTTGCTGTCCCCCTTGTACTACAGGATAAGCCCCCAATAACATTGTCTGGGTCAATTTATATTACAAGTAGTTCAAGGACCTTGAGGCAATATTAATCTACCCCATTTTTCTCTTCTAATATAAGAATGTAATTCTACACATTTTTATAAAACCACTGTTTATTTGTGTCAATGTTTCATGTTCATTTAGCTCAAAATAATTTAAAGTTTAATAAGGAATCAGTTAATTCCCCCTTAAGAATTTATTTAGACCCATCTGTTATTTTAATTGACAAATATATGGGTGATTTTCCAAGTTTTTTTTTCTGGTTATTGATGTTTTAGAATTAATTCTGTTCCAACATATAATTTGCTTTGTATGATTTCTCTTATTAACTATATTAAGGTTTCTTTTTTGGTCCAAAATATGATCTATCTTGTGGAATTTCTACATACACTGGAGGGCTACTCTTACATGGTGTGTTTTTAAATGTTAATTAAGTCAAATTTAGTGAGAATGCTGATTAGGCCATCCAAATACTGCTTTTGTGTTTAATTGTTATGTCATTTACTGATTTTTTTTCAGTTATGGAGCATGGAAGTATCCCAAATATAATTTGCACATTGTTTTGTTTCTCCTTTCAGTTCCAACATTTTTTTGTCATGCACTTGAATGTCCTATTGTAAAATACAGTCTCATTTAGAATTGATATGTCTTTATCATTACATACTGTCCTTCTTTATCTCTGATAATTTTTCTTGTTCTGAAGGCTACTTTAGTTTTCTGTCAATGAGTATTTTTGCATGGCACATCTTTCTCCACTCCCTACTTTACATCTTTCTGCGCCTTTAAATTTAATCTGTGTTTTCTTAGCAGCCCATAGGAGGATTTTGGCCTTGTTTTATATTTTACTTAATCTACCTATCTCTGTCATTTGATTGGTGCATGGAGACTTTACAGAATTGTAATGAAGAAGTTAGAACGTAACACATTTTTGAATGTTTTCAATATGCTCTGCTTTTATTTATTTTATCCTATTTTACCACATCCACAGAATAATTTAACATTTTTCTGTTTACATTCCATTCCATTTTTGTTTAATTATGGATAACTTTTTTAAAAATTTAAATTCTAAAGTTAGTTACACATTATATATATATTTTAACTTATAAAGCCGTACTGTAAGTACTATTATAGTGATGGACATGTAGTCGTTCTTAAAATGACACAGTATTCCTCATTTTTTTACCCTTTGTTACTGTTGCTTAGATTTTCTCTGTGCCAGAAGTACACAGTACATTGCTGTTACTCTCAGTTATACTTCTAGATCAAGAAAATAAATATTATTTTATCATAATTTGTTTAGTGTTCAGTGTTTGTGTGTATAAATTCAAATTCTGTGTAGTATAACATTCTTCTGTGTAAAAATAATCTTCCTTTAAAATTTTATAGTATAAATCTAAGGTAAATTATCAATTTTGTTTCATAAAGTCTATCTTTCAGATCTTTTTTTTTTTTTTTTTTGGACAGGCAGAGTGCACAGTAAGAGAGAGAGACAGAGAGAAAGGTCTTCCTTTGCCATTGGTTCACCCTCCAATGGCCCCCGCGGCTGGCGTGCTGCAGCCAGCGCACTGTGCTGATCCGATGGCAGGAGCCAGGTGCTTCTCCTGGTCTCCCATGGGGTGCAGGGCCCAAGCACTTGGGCCATCCTCCACTGCACTCCTGGGCCACAGCAGAGGGCTGGCCCAGAAGAGGGGCAACCAGGACAGAATCCGGCACCCCGACCGGGACTAGAACCTGGTGTGCCGGCGCTGCAAGGTGGAGGATTACCCTAGTGAGCCATGGTGCCGGCCTTTCAGATCTATTTTTAAAATCATAGTTTTGCTGAATAAAGAATTCTAGCAGAATTTTGATTGTTTTTGGTACTTTAATCAGCGACTCCATTACTTATGCTAGCATAGTTTCTGACAAGAAGTCAGCTGCCTTTTTACTACTGTATCAGTCCTTGAAACACATCTTTCATTTTCAGACAGATTGGGGACATATTTGCTTTTTCTTTTTAAGTATTTAAACAAATATCTTATGGCCAGATGGGTGTGTGGGTTTCATTCTCTTAGTGATCTCTTAGCTTGATGATGTTGTCATTTGCTCTTGGGATAGGATAGAAACAGGATTCAGCAAACGCAGTCCCTCCTGACCTGAAGTGTCTCCACCTACTGTCCCAAGCCAATCAGAAGCTGGGAGCAGCAAGACTCAAACCACAAAAGACCCCCCCGACCTCCCTGTTAGGGACTTCCTCAATGGGCATGCTTGCGGAGAATATCCCAGAGTGACCCACATGTGACCTTCTTGTTTAGCAGTAGTGAACAAACTACTAATTGTGACCTACGATTTTGAACATATCATGGGTGAAAAATACACCACCACCAGAACAGAGCATTGAGCTGGATGCAAATCAGTGTTTAGCATGATAAAGAACACTAGCCAGAACTGCAGGCCAGGGGCAGATCAAAGTGCCATGTGTGACAGAGGAACCACTGTGACTCCTCAACCCCATAAAAGCATCTGCACAGCTCCCAGCAGAGACCCATTTAGTAGAACCTCTTTCTGCCATGCTGTCTCTGCAAGTATTGGTCCCCACTAAACCTTTCCCAGCTTGTACATTGATCTCTTGTCAATTTGCAAGTGAGCCAAAATCTCCCAGGGTTGCTAACATTGTCAGTCATTAAAAATCAGGCATTTGTTTCTGCAAATATTTCTTCCCTGTGCTGTCCTT